CACACACACACAAAGACAAAGACCCCCCCGTATAGCCTTAACAGACTGTAGGGGCAAGTGCTGTTAGCGAGCAGCTATGAAGGCCGGCACGGCACACGAGGGGGTGGGTGGCCAGCACCACGCCCGGCCGCCTTTGTCTCCCCAGTGCTAGCGATGTTCACTACACACCGCACCAGGTACTCATTTGAGGCTGAGTCGACCTAGGGGAGGCCCGGGACCGGTTCAGATAATCGTCGCCGGCGGTGTTGGCCGTGAGCGGGAATCGAACTCGGGCCGCCGGGTTTGTAGCGCAGAGTAGCGCTAACCACTACACTACCGCTCCCTGTATACACACACACAGAGATATACACACACACACAGATACACACACGCACAGACACACACACAGATACACACACACGTTTATGTACACACGCCTATATACATACACCTGCATGTATACACCTACACATACCTATACACACACCTACACACTAGCGTGTGTACACCTATACATACCTATACACCTACATGTATACACCTATACACACACCTATACACACACCTATACACCTACATGTATACACCTATACACACCTATACACACACCTATACACACACCTATACACCTACATGTATACACCTATACACACACCTATACACACACCTATACACCTACATGTATACACCTATACACACCTACACACGACCATGTGTACACCTATACACACGAGCACGTGTACACCTACACACCTACAAACACACCTACACGTACACATGCACCTATACACACACCTATACATACCTATACACACACACACCGACACGTGTACACCTACACACGACCATGTATACACCTACACACCTACACGTGTACACCTATACACCTACACACACACACCTATACACACCATGTGTACACCTATACACACCTATACACACGCCTACACGTGTACACTTATACACACACACCTACACACACACACCTATACACGTACACCTATACACCTACACATACACCGACACACACACACCTACACACACACCTACACACAAACAACCGCCATTCGCCACTAAGTGGTGGTGATGTCACCACGACGCTTGTGCCAGGCCATGTGCACCATGAGGCCACGTGAAGTGTCGAACGCCCGCTGGCAGGAGGTCACGGGGCAGACCCAGGTGCCACGGGTCGACTGACTGAGATGAGTGGCAGATGGACCACCTGTGCCCCCTACTGTGCCAACTTGCTGTGCTTTAGCCACCCGGCGCTCCGCTCGTTGTTGTGAGCATCGCTCCTCCGCCCTCCGTTGTTGTTGGAGGGCGACTACCTCCAACTGCCCAGTAGCGTCCTTCACGAGCCTCCTCCACAGAGGCCGATCTTGACACCGCTGGTACCAGTCATCGGCAAGTCCACTCAGCTCCACGTCCTCCTGTACCACATCACTCCATCTCTTCTCTAGCCCGTGCCGCGCCCGTTTAGCCCCCTCGATCTGGCCAAACAAAAGCTGTTTCGGCATGCGGTGGCTGGGCATGCGGGCTACATGGCCCAGCCAACGCAGCCTTGCCTGCCAGAGTTCACCGATGGGTCTTTGCCCAGATCTTTCAAGGATTTGTGAGCTCCTCACACAATCCAGCCTGCGGGTTAAACCCAGGATGGATCGTACGCAGGCCAGCCTAAATGTTTCTAGCCGGCGAAGATGTTCCATTAGGGGGGTCCACGTTTTGCAAGCGTAGAGAAGGGAGGGAATGACTGTGGCAGAGAAGACCTGAAGCTTCGTGCGGAGTGACAATACCAGACCAGGTAGCTTCCACACAGCGTTGTGCAGCCGATGAAAAGATATTGCCGCTCGACTGATTCGGAGTGTGACCTCTTCTGTCAAACCGGAGCTGGTCATGAGCACACTGCCCAGGTATGGGAAAGTCTCCACTCTCTCCACAACTGCCCCATCACCAATGGGAAGCTGAGGGGGTGGAGTGTCCGATGGTACAAAATACCATGGGAAGGTGCTTAGTTTTGGTGGGGCTGATGGTAAGGCCCCACCTTTTAGTGGCATGCTCCAGTTCCAGCAGCAGCGCCTCCAACTCATCCTCTGAGTGAGCCGCAATTACCAGATCATCGGCATACGTAACGTGGTTGAGCAATAGGGAGCCATCCCTTGACCGCACCTGGGCATCGATCAACCTCCCATTGTATCTGTACCAAATGGAAATTGGTCAGAGATGATGTTCAATAATGTGGGAGCCAGAGGACATCCCTGTCGCACCCCAAGGTGTACAGGGAATGGCTCTGACTCCCGGCCACGTAGTTTTACCCGGGCCCGCTCACCATCATGAAGGTCCTTAATGATCGTAAGCAGAGGGTCAGGTACTCCAAAAGCACGAATGACCCAGAGCCCAGGCCTACTGATGGTATCATAGGCCTTGACCAGGTCAATAAAGCAGAGATGTAGGTCTTGTTGGAATTCGCTACACCTCTGCTGTAGCAGATGGACAGAGAATATTGGCATCTGTGCAGGACCGCCCTTTCCTGAAACCGCATTGGGGCTCCGCAAGCCTCTCCTCAGCGTACCTGGCAGGGCGATGTTGAATAATCCTTGCCAGGACCTTTCCCGACACAGTGAGGATTGAGATGCTTCTGTGGTTGTTACAGTCTGTGCGGTCCCCCTTCCTAAAGAGGGGGACCACCAGGGCATAATTCCAATCCTGTGGAACCCGTCCAGTGGTCCAGACTCTTGTTATGATGTCATGTCGGGCAGTCTGTGCACAAACGCCACCCTCCCTCGGCATTTCGCTTGGGAGATCACCTCTGCCCGGTGCCTTTCCTGGTCTCAGACTCCAGATCGCCTTCAGTACTTCCTCAACAGATGGCACCTCAGCCAGCCACTCACTCACAGGGGTGGCTACTTCTGCCAATATTTGAGGCACCGCAGCCCCAGCAGGGTCATCCCCACTTTGCCGAGATGATGATTTCCCAGCTGAGGGATTTCCCCTAAGGCCTCACATAAATGCTCAGCGACCCTGCAGACCTCTTCCGGGGGGGGGGGGGGGGTTGGTCGGTGATCGGATCGCCGTTCTTTCCTCCTTGAGGATGGCGATAGGCGTGGCCGCTGCAGGTTACTTTTTTGATGGCGTTAAAGAGCGATTCGTGATCGCGGGCCACCGAGGCAGCCTCAGCAGGGTCATCCCCACTTAGTGCCGCGTTATTTTCCAGGCTGAGGAATTCCCCCTCCTCCAGGACCTCACAGAAATACTCAGCAAATCTGCAAACCTGTTCCAGGGGTGACGGAGATTGGATCGCCGTTCTTTCCCCTAATGATGGTAACAGGCAGGGGCGGAGCCAGGGGGGTGGTGACAGGGGTGACATTCTGCGTGTGAGTGTACGACACTCAGTTTGGCGGACTGCGTGCCAACTGCACTGTCAGAGCGTGTGTCCGCCAACCGATGGCGTCCGGTTCAACAGCCTGACTCTCTCTAAATCATTCTTGAAGTTCACATTTGTTGTTGAATGTCACCCCGGCCTGAAATCCTGGCTCCGCCCCTGGTAATAGGAGTGGCGCTGCAGGTTACTTTTTTGATGGAGTTAAATAGAGATTTGTGATCGCGGGCCACTGAGGCAGATTCCATCTCATTGGCAACCCGCGACCACCAACCATCCTTGCAGCGCCTCACGGCTCTCCGAACCTCCGAGCGAAAGCTGCGGTAAGCCTCCTCATTCTCTGACGTGGGATGCTGTAGCCGATGAGAGTGGGCCTGTCGCTTTTTCTCAAGCATCCTGAACACCTCCTCTGTCAGCCAGGGGAGGTCTGGACCGCGTACCCAAAGCAGCCATTGCAGCTGCGTGAGCCACAGTCCTAAACCTCGCCCATTTACCCTCGACATCAGGAGGAGTGGGGGACGATGCCAACCCCAGCTGCAAGCGATGATGAAATTCTCGCTTGCAACTTTCATCAGCTAGCCGAGACCATGCCACTGTGGCTTTGAATGGGGTCCTGGGTGTACACCCACCCACACACACGTACACCTACACACACACACCACACACACATACACCTACACACACCAAACACACATACACCTACACACACACCACACACACCACACACACACGTACACCTACCCACACCACACACACATACACCTACACACCACACACACCACACACACATACACCACACAAATACATCTACACACACCACACACACGTACACCACACAAATACATCTACACACAACCACACACACATACACCTACACACACCACACACACCACACAAAACATCTGCACACACCACACACGCCTACACACACCACACACACGTACACCTACAAACACACACCACACACCTACACACACACCAACCAACCCCACTAACCACCTACCCACCCACTCGCCTACCCACCCACTCACCTACCCAACCACCTACCCACCCAGTAAACCTACAAACGCCACTTACACTAAACCACAGTCGTGAGAAACTACTCACTCACCTACCACTCAGATACCCACCGTCCACTCAATCACCCACCCACTCAGCCACACACTGAGCTACCCCTCTGCCCACCCGGCTATCCGCCCACCCACTCGCCCACCCACTCGTTCACCCACCCACCCAACCACTCGCCTACGCACTCGCCCACCCACTCGCCCACCCACTCGCTCACCCACCCACTCGCTCACCCACCCACCCGCTCACCCACCCACTCAACCACTCGCCTACCCACTCGCCCACCCACTCGCCCACCCACCCGCTCACCCACCCACTCACCCAATCACTCACCCGCTCACCCACTCGCTCACCCACCCGCTCACCCACTCACCCACCCACTCGCCTACCCACTCGCTCACTCACTCGCTCACCCACCCGCTCACCCACTCACCCACCCACTCGCCTACCCACTCGCTCACCCACTCGCTCACCCACTCACCCACCCACTCGCCTACCCACTCGCTCACCCACCCGCCCGCCCACCCGCTCACCCAACCAACCGCTCGGCTACCCGCCCCGACCTGGCCAGCCCCGCTCAGCAGAAAGTCTCGGCGGGTTCACCGGGGTCTCGCCGCTGCCTGCGCTGGGACTGGCTCCTCAGCAGCGCGGCCGCGCCGGTAGAGGAGGAGGAGGAGCCGCCGCCGGCGTCGCCGCCGGGCCAGTCCATCCTCTCCCCGATGGACTGGCTCTTGCGAGTCGGGGGGCGATCGCCGCCGCCGCCGCCGCCGCCGCCGCCGCCGCCGCCGGCCGCCTCCCCGTCGTTGTTGTTGTCGCCGCGCCGGAAGAGCGCCGGGCGGCGCCGGGAGCCGTTGTCCAACACCTCCCGGCCGCCGCCGCCGCCGCCGCCGCCGCCGTCGTCGTCGTCGTCGTCGTCGCCGTCGTCGCCGCCGCCGTCCTCGCGCTCCGCCACCGAGGCGGCGCTGTCCTCCTGGCGCAGCCGCCGGCTCCTCCGGCCGCCGCCGCCGCCGCCGCCGCCGGCGGAGGACGAGGACGAGGACGGCGGCGCCGCCGCCGCCGAGCGGCCCGAGTCCACGTCGGACTCGGCGTCCGACGCGGCCGTGCTACCCAGCTCGGCCTCGCGCTCCGCCTGCGAGCAGCCCAGGGTGCCGGGGACGCCCAAGCGGCACACGGGGTCCGGCGACGAGCGGCCGCCGCCGCCGCCGCCGCCGCCCGCGGCCCCCGAACCGCACGGCCGCTCGTCGCTCCCCCCGCCTCCTCCGCCGGCCGTCGAGCCTCCGCCGGAGCCGCCGCCGGAGCCGCCGCCGCCGCCGCCGCCGCCGGAGCCGCCGCCGCCGGAGCCGCCGCCGGAGCCGCCGGCGACGCAGCTGGTGTCGATGCAGTCCACGATGGTGGTGTACTCGGAGTTCCGCGGCGACTTGGCGAGCGCCGGCGGCGGCGGCGGCGCCGGCGGCGGCAGCATGAGGCTGCGCGAGCGGACCAGCAGCGGGCACAGCTCGGGCTCGAGACGCGTCGGAGTCAGGTCGCACTGGTCGCCGTTGCCGCCGGCGGCGGGCGGAGGGGACTCCGGCGCCGCCGCCGCCGCCGCCGCCGGCGCCGCCCCGCCGCCGTAGAAGAGGCCGGGCACGGGCGCCACCACGAGGTAGCGGTTGCTCTTGGAGCGCTCCAGCGGGCAGGAGCGAGACGCCTCCAGGTCGCGGTGGGGCGTCCGCGACGGCGACGCGTCGGCCGACAGGGCTCCGGCCCTGCCGCCGCCGCCGCCGCCGGCGCCCGAGGAGGAGGAGGAGGAGAGAGCGAGCAGCGTCGGGGCCGAGCGGCCCTCTGGGCGGCAGGAGGCGGCCGCGAGGGCGGCCGCGGCCGCGTCGGCGGGCGCCAGCGAGAGGGAGGGCGACGCCGACGGCGACGGCGACGGCGACGCCGAGCGGAAGCGCCGGCGGGAGTGGTCGCCCGCCGACGACGCCGCGCCCGCCGGCGGCGGCGGCGGAGCCGAAGAGTCGTCCGACACGAAGATGTCGATGCAGGAGCCGAGGCGGTGCCGCCGGCGCTCGTTGAAGGAGCCGCCGGCGACGCCGACGCCGCCGCCGCCGCCGCCGAAGCCGCCGAAGCCGCCGAAGCCGCAGCCGCCGGACTCCCGGCGGAAGCTGCAGCCGGCGCTGGCGTAGCCGCTGCGGCGGCGGCTGCCGAACGGTTCGTAGCCGTAGCTGCTGTCAGAGGGCGTCAGCAGCAGCTGCTGCTGCTGCTGCTGGTACTGAAGCTGCTGGTGCAGCTGCTGGTGCAGCTGCTGCTGGTACAGCTGCTGCTGCTGCTGCTGGGACGCCACCGAGAAGGCGCTGGTGGCGTGGTGCAGGCTCATGGAGCGCTCCTTCTGGTAGCCGTCGCCGGCCGGCGTCCAGCCAGGCCAGGGCGGCGTGCCGGCGCCGTCGCCGCCGCCGCCGCCGCCGGCGCCGCCGTCCCGGTCGCGCCGGTGCATCAGGTGAAAGGAGTAGCTGCGCCGTTGCGCCGCCGGGTGCTGCTGGCCCGGCGGCCGGTGGTGGTGGTGGTGGTGGTGGCGGTGCTGCTGCTGCTGCTGCGTCGTCGACGGCGGCGGCGTCGTCACGCCGGCGGCCGGCGCCGGCGTCGCGCTGGGAGACGCCGCCCGGCGCTCCGAGGCGGCCCGGCGGTGGAGCGCCGGCGTCTCCAGGCGGAAGAGGCTGCCGCCGCTGCCGACACTACCGCGGCGGCAGCGGTCTCCCGCTCCTCCGCCGGGGCCGCCGCCGCCGCCGCCGCCGCCGCCGGGACCGTCCGACGAGCTGCGGGAGTGCAGCCGGGCCGGCCCGGCGGCGGCCGCGGCGGCGGCGGCGGCGTCGGCGCCGCCCGGCGCCAGGCGCTCGAGGGCGCCGGCGATCCGGGACGTGGCCTCCTCGAGCTGGGCGAGCCGCAGGTCCACCGTCTGGATCGAGGCCTTCATGAAGTGCTCGCGCTCGTTCACCTCCTCGAGGCGCATCGCCATGTTCTCCACCCTGCCGGAGCGCAGCGTGGGGGGCAGGGAGAGGGAGAGAGGGAGAGAGAGGGAGAGAGAGGCCGTGTACCCTCGCTGGGGGACACGGGATTGCTTAAACCCTGTGGGGCCCCAGGCCCTTTCTCTGTGTGTAGGCCCGAAGCCCTTTCTCTGTGTGTAGGCCCGAAGCCTTTCTGTGTAGGCCCTAAGCCCTTCTGTGTAGGCCCAGGCCCTTCCTCTGTAGGCCCAGGCCCTTTCTGTGTAGGCCCAGGCCCCTCCTCTGTAGGCCCAGGTCCGCCCTCTGTAGGCCCTAAGCCTTTCCTCTGTAGGCCCTAAGCCTTTCTGTGTGCAGGCCCGAAGCCTTTCCTCTGTAGGCCCTAAGCCTTTCCTATGTAGGCCCCATCCCTTACTCTGTAGGCCCAGGCCCTTTCTGTGTAGGCCCTAAGCCTTTCGTCTGTAGGCACTAAGCCTTTCCTCTGTAGGCCCAGGCCCTTCCTCTGTGTAGGCCCTAAGCCTTTCTCTGTAGGCCCAGGCCCTTTCTTTGTGTAGGCCCTAAGCCTTTCCTCTGTAGGCCCTAAGCCTTTCTGTGTGCAGGCCCGAAGCATTTCCTCTGTAGGCCCTAAGCCTTTCCTCTGTAGACCCAGACCCTTTCTCTGTAGGCCCAGAAGTTTCCTATGTAGGCCCCGGCCCTTTCTACGTAGGTCCAGGCCCTTTCTACGTAGGTCCAGGCCTTTACTCTGTAGGCCCTAAGCCTTTCCTCTGTAGGACCGATCCTTTCTCTGTAGGCCCCAGGCTCTTCCTCTGTAAGCCCCAGGCCGTTCATCTGTAAGTCCAGGTCCTTTATGTGTAGGCTTTGGCCCTTCCTCTGTAGGCCCCAGACGCTTCCTATGTAGGCCCCGGCCCTTTCTACGTAGGTCCAGGCCTTTACTCTGTAGGCCCCATCCCTCCCTCTGCAGGCCCCATCCCTACCCACGTAGGTCCAGGCCTTTACTCTGTAGGCCTCATCCCTCCCTCTGCAGGCCCCATCCCTACCTACGTAGGTCCAGGCCTTTACTCTGTAGGCCCCATCCCTCCCTCTGCAGGCCCCATCCCTACCTACGTAGGTCCAGGCCTTTACTCTGTAGGCCCCATCCCTTACTCTGCAGGCCCCATCCCTTTCTACGTAGGTCCAGGCCTTTACTCTGTAGGCCCCATCCTTTACTCTGCAGGCCCCATCCCTTTCTACGTAGGTCCAGGCCTTTACTCTGTAGGCCCCATCCCTCCCTCTGTAAGCTCAGGCACTTTTGTGTAGGCCCAAAGCCTTTCTTCTATACGTCGGTGGAAGCAGCCACCCCCGCTGTGAGTGAGTGGGTGGGTGGGTGAGTGGGTGAGTGGGTGAGCGGGTGAGTGGGTGGGCGGGTGAGTGGGTGGGCGGGTGGGTGGGTGGGCGGGTGGGTGAGTGGGCGGGTGGGTGAGTGAGCGGGTGGGTGAGTGAGTGGGTGAGCGAGTGGGTGAGCGAGTGAGTGAGTGAGTGAGCGGGTGAGTGAGTGGGTGGGTGAGTGGGTGAGCGAGTGGGTGAATGAATGATTGGGTGAGTGAGTAGGTGAGCGGGTGAGCGAGTGGGTGAGTGGGTGAGTGAGTGGGTGAATGAGTGAGTGGGTGGGTGAGTGGGTGAGTGGGTGAGTGAGTGAGTGGGTGGCTAGTGAGTGAGTGGGTGAATGAGTGAGTGGGTGAGCGAGTGGGTGAGTGGGTGAGCGAGTGGGTGAGTAAACGGGTGAGCGAGTGGGTGAGTGGGTGAGCGAGTGGGTGAGTGGGTGAGCGAGTGGGTGAGCGAGTGAGTGAGCGGGTGGGTGAGGCATGCCTCTCCGTGGTGATGCGGATCCGCTCATCGGTCGAGGAGGTGAATCGTTCCTCTTTGTCAGTGAAGTAGTCTTCCACGCACTGCTCCTCCAGATCCAGCAGCCTCTTCATCTCCTCGTCGGTCAGCACCAGCTCTGCCGAATCATCACCACCACCACTGCTACACACTAGTAGAGTAGTGTATAGTGTAGTGTAGTAGTGTAGTGTATAGTAGTGTAGTGTATAGTAGTGTAGTGTATAGTAGTGTAGTGTATACTGTCATGTATAGTAGTATTTGTGTGTAGTGTAGTGTATAGTGTCATGTATAGTAGTGTAGTGTATAGTAGTGTAGTGTATAGTAGTGTAGTGTATAGTAGTGTAGTGTATAGTAGTGTATAGTGAGTGTAGTGTATAGTGTAGTCTATTGTAGTGTATAGTAGTGTATAGTGTAGTGTATAGTAGTGTATAGTGTAGTGTAGTGTATAGTGTAGTCTATTGTAGTGTATAGTAGTGTATAGTGTAGTGTATAGTAGTGTATAGTGTAGTGTATAGTTGCGTAGTGTATAGTAGTGTATAGTGTAGTGTATAGTAGCGTAGTGTATAGTTGTGTAGTGTATAGTGTAGTGTATAGTGTAGTGTATAGTAGTGTATAGTGTAGTGTATAGTAGTGTATAGTGTAGTGTATAGTGTAGTGTATAGTGTAGTGTATAGTAGTGTATAGTAGTGTAGTGTATAGTAGTGTATAGTGTAGTGTATAGTGTAGTGTATAGTAGTGTATAGTGTAGTGTATAGTGTAGTGTATAGTGTAGTGTATAGTGTAGTGTATAGTAGCGTAGTGTATAGTAGTGTAGTGTATAGTAGTGTATAGCGTAGTGTATAGTAGTGTATAGTGTAGTGTATAGTGTAGTGTATAGTGTAGTGTATAGTAGTGTAGTGTATAGTAGTGTATAGTGTAGTGTATAGTGTAGTGTATAGTAGTGTATAGTGTAGTGTATAGTAGCGTAGTGTATAGGAGTGTATTCGCGTAGTAGTATTGGTGCAGTAGTTGTTTGTAAGTGTGCACATTTAACTTCTTTCATAACAGTACAGACAAATACCGTCGCCCCGGGGTAACTAGGGGGCCCGGGGTAACACGACGTAAGAGGGGGGGGTTAGCGGT